TCGCAATTTTTTTTTTTTTAATGAGGCATTTTGCCATCGCACATGTTTTTATAGAGTTTGATTATGGCGTTGTCTGCTACCACTTGCTCCGCATCTGCTACATGGCTGAGCAGATAGATCGCTGACCTTTCACCAAATTGCTGCCACGAAAAAAATCTTAAATTGCGGCGATCTTAAACGCGACAAAAGCGTGTACATCCTGACCGCGCGCGAGGCGAAACTCTCAAAAACACGTGCAGAACGCGTGTAGCGTGGGAGCAAAGGAACAGGTTTTTTAAAAACAGGTTGAAGGGAACATCGGAGAGGTCAACATTCTTGTAACGAGTTTTGCCCCCGCCCATTCAACGGCAGCGGCCGACCCCGCAGCGCCCTCTACGGCGTGGGTCTCCCCTGCCATCCCTCCAACGTTCAGTCAACATTGGGTTGCCTCAGTATGTCACAGAAAAGGTCTATTGCCGACTTTTTTTCGCCTTCGAGCAAGCGGGCCAAGCAAAAAGCCGTCTCCCCCGAGCTTTTTGCTTCCACAGCAGAAGATTCGGAGACGCTTCAGGAACAAGAAAATGCTCAGTGCTTTGTTTCAATTCCGCTTGAAGAGACTGTGCGTAGCATCGCGTCTGATGATGCTTGCCAGTCCTCGTCAGGGCACATGGACCGCGAATGTGATGACCTTTCCGCATCGTGTGCAGCAAGACATCAACCTGATTCTGCGACAGAATTCACCGCCTCTGATGTGGATGTCGACCACGCAGGCCAGTTGGACATTTAGAAATTCAAGACAGAGCAACCCACACAGCCAATACTGAACCCATTTCCATCTAAGAAGTACGGCAAATTGAGCAGGAGCTTCAACTCAAACTGGTACCGCCTATTTCCTTGGTTAGAGTATAGCGCGCAGGCTGACGCAGCTTTCTGTTACCCTTGCAGAATGTTTTCAACTGGTGACAATGAGAAATCTGCATTTGTCAATGGTGGATATAGTAATTGGAAAAATGCCCTAGAAAGGGACGGTGGCTTCAGGAAGCACGAAAACTCACTCGTGCATAAGACTTGCCAGGCATCGTGGGTTTCCTTCACGCAGATGAAGGTGGGAGGACAAAGCAGGTCGGTTGCAACACATCTCAGCGACGCGTACTCCAGGGAGGTGCAGGAAAATCGCCTCTATATAGCAAGAGTTGCCGATATATTGCGATTTACTGCCGTTCAGGGAATCTCTCAGAGGGGCCACGATGAAAGTGCCAGAAGTGAAAACAAAGGAAACTTCGTTGAGCTCTTGAACTTGTTTGCTAAATATGACGACATTATAGGAAAGAAACTGAATGGTGGAGCAGCGAATGCGAAGTACGTTCATCACTCGATACAAGACCAGATCCTCGAAATTCTCAGCCACATCACATTAACAAGTATAAAGGAAGAGATGAAAAGCTCCCAGTGCTTTGCACTTATCATCGATGAAACCAAGGATCTAAGTAAGACGGAACAGTTGTCAGTGGTAGTAAGGTACTACCTCAATGGGGCTGTCTTTGAAAGGTTCCTTGGATTCCGCAACGCTGAGCAATTGGATGCTAAGTCGCTCCTGAGCTACGTCAAGGAAACGCTGAATCGCTGCGACATTGATTCTCAACTGTGCATTGCTCAAACATACGATGGTGCAAATGTCATGAGCGGTACGTCACGAGGCGTCCAGGCACTATTCAGGCAGGAAGTGCCGCAGGCAGTGTACGTACACTGCATGAACCACTGTCTCAATTTTGTCATCGTGGATGTCTACAAGGCGATAAAACCGGTGAGGGAGTTTTTCTCTCTTTTGGAAAGCCTTTATGTATTCCTAAGTGGATCTGCAGTTCACTCCCTGTATGTAGATGTTCAAAAAAGGTTGTCTTTGCCTGTGACAGAGCTGCAGCGTCTCAGCGATACACGATGGGCCTGCCAGATAACGGCTTGCACAGCTGCCATGAAAAGCTTTCCTGCCATTCTTGTATGCCTCAGCGAAGTCATTGCTACAAACAGCAGGCAGACAACGGAAGCCGGGGGTCTGCTGGAGCAAATGAACTTCTCTTTTCTTTTCCATTTAAGGCTATTCACCAAGCTACTCAGCCGCCTTAAGGTTTTTTCGGACATATTGCAAAGTACAGACTGCAACCTTAGTCAGGCATGCCTCATGGCGCACACTGTCATTGACGAGTTATCCGAAATCAGAAATTCGCAGAGCGCGTTTGACACTGTGTGGGAGCAAACCTGCACTATTTCTGAGGAGAACGGGGTCCCCCCAAAGGGAAAAGCAGAGAACGAAGCGCCTTCCGCTCCATTTAGAGCAGTTTGTATTAAGTGAAGGACGCCCGTTGAAGAAGAGTCTCTAGATTCAAAAGAAACTTTCAGAGTCAAAGTTTTTCTGCCCGTTTTGGACCACCTCATTGTGGAACTGACAAGGCGATTTGCGGAAAATAATGACGTATTCTGTGGAGTCAGCGCCCTCCACCCTCAAAGTGAGAATTTTATGGACGTCTCCTTGCTCAAGCCTTTCGCTGAGCACTATGCATGCGACATCAACAGCGTTGAAGTTGAATGCAAGTTGGTAATTAAACTTCTTCAGCACATCGAAGCCGAAAGGAAGTGCAATATAGAAACATTGCTGCAATTGGTCACCGTCTTGGAAGAGTATAAGTTAGCCTTTCACGAACTGCACAAGCTATGTGTTATCGCCGTGACGATACCGGCATCATCATCTTCTTGCGAGCGCACATTTTCGTGCCTTCGAAGACTGAAGACTTATCTTCGCAGCAAAATGACTAACAACCGTCTGAGCGACCTAGCTGTGCTTGCGGTAGAACGGTCTCTAGCCAATAAGATAGACCTTCAGTGTGTTGTTGACATGTTCGATGCTGCACACAATAATCGGCGTATACGTCTGCACTAGTATGCTGGTAAATGAAACTATAGTACCTTTGCGGCGCTTTCATGGGAAAAATGTTCGGGCACGGAAACCCGCTTCGCTATCGAATAATTCCGGCCGTTTTTCCTCGCTTTCAAACAAACTGCAAAAGGTGCCCCGCTTGTCTGAGGCCACGTCGGTGCCCCGCTTGTGTGGTGAACAGTGCCTAGTAGGAGAGCTGACACTTTTGTGAAAACTGGTGTACTGTTTAGTCAGATGTGAAATGACTTACCTGCCTATGCGTGATCCAGTTTTACAAATCTATGCCTTTCATTTGTTTATTCTTTTGCTACATTGCTTCTTTTTTCTTTTCCCATTTCCAACGTTTAGCAACACCAGCAGGCGCAAGAACAGCCTTTTAACATTTTGTAATCTGGCGCATCATTACGAAACTTGGAATTGATATGAACATTACTTAGTGGTGTTAGTTATCTCTGATGCTCTGAAATGACTCTTTCGAAGCTATATTGTGATCTAGTTAACACGTGTGATTTTGTTGCTGCTGGTTACCAAGCTTAATTTCTTTTATTTGGTACTGCATTTTGTATATCGGTTGTCTGACAAACTGTATCAATTTTCATTTTACTAGCAATACAACTGCTGTGTAAACATGCTAAATATTAAGTTGTATCCTACTGCGTTGCTCGAATATCTTACTTACACTGGTGTGTTTAGAACCTGGGCCTTTAGCCCAGCCAAACGGTTTCAGCCACCGACTAATTGGAGTCCTCTTGTGTTTTCGGAAGATTGTGGTGAAAGATTGTGGTATTTCGTGACTATGCAGCACTTGCGTGCAGCAAATGAAGCAGTTGCCGGTGAGCTAATAGATAGCTATCCTTGGCAAGATTGCAGTGAACTGCGCATAGCTGTAGATACAGCTACAGTGTACTAGAGAGCAAAGACAGCGAAGCAGCATAGCGGCGTCAAACCGGTCAACGCTGATGACGTAGCTGACGTCGTGACACTCAGGCTTGACAAGTTCTAGGAGGCGTTGCTTCGGCTCGACTTCTCCCAGAGGCTTGGCTGGCTACCTCCGACTACATCACACCTGCGCCCAACTTCTCAAGTTGCTATCGTTCTGGTCATATTATCAAGGAAGCTATAGATCAGCTGTTTTTCGCCCAGCTAATCCCATTCTAACCCGTATAAAGCTAGCGCCTAGGTGATTTCTTTTGTAAGAGTGTAGGAGTTGATTTAGATCAAGAGAAAATCTTTCAGATAATATATTACGTTGAACTCACCTAAGCAGAACAATACGCCTGTTTATTGACGTGTTGAGCTACTGAACGAAGCATAGGTGACATGTAACAGGACATATCGTAGACTTCCATCGAAGAAGTTGGGCGTTTATAAAAGAAGAAAAGGGGAAGAGAGTAAGACAGTGAAAATACAACGCATAAGCTCCCCACTTGCTTGCCCCCCCCCCCCCCGGAGGAACTCACTTTTCGTGGTTGCCCCCCCCCAGTAAAAACATCCTGGCGCCGCCCCTGCCTATAATCCACCTTTTTCACGATGCCACAGTACATGCGTCCCTTCGCCTAGATGAAAGTCATGAAACACCTGTTCATAGCAGAGGCTTTCGTTTTGGCGATGCCATTTCTCCCAGCCCCTACAAAGAAAGCCCTACCAGTACGGTAGAAGTCAGCACATGAAAATGCAAAAGGCAGACTGAAATATACAAGATGTGTATTTCAGCAAAGCATCGGCAACAAGAAAGAACATAGCAATCATGGCTTTCTGCGAGTGTCCAAACAAAACCTAACCATAGTGACTGCCACAAAATTATTAAAGAAGATTGGTGCAAAAGAAACTGACACAAATTGTACATTTTGCTGTAGGTCCACCTCAGTATGGTGAATTCTCCATCCTATTTATTGGATTGACATGGCTGTTGATATGTGGACAAATAGCCTTAGGACTACATGCAACATGTGCAGCGGCAAGAGTATGCACTTAAATAATAAACGTTGACTGGACCACGTATCGCAGGCAAATTACCCTGTAAAACTGTGGGATCATAGCGCACCCCTTCCTCCAAGCGAACACAAAGTGAACAGTTGGTAGCACTCACCAACTGCTTCCAGTGTGCCAAACTTTTCGAGCCTCTCCAGCAGCTTGAGGTGCTTCCGCCCCTTCAAATGCTCCTCTTCAGTCTCTTCAAATGTTTCTTTGCACATGTCACACGTGTAGGTCTGAAATGTGCAAGAATTTGAGCATGCTTCATATAGAGTAGCAATGCACTTGAAATAAAATGAAGCTCGAGAAAAGAAACAGCAGACAATAAACATTGGATGGGATAAAGTCTAGCCTATCATCAGTTTTTTACTTGTCTCTAAAAACCACATGATAACGAAAAATTACGAGCTTTCACATTGCTCCTGATGACGCATGTTAAAGAGACCATGAAATGATTTTTTGAAGTTTTGTAAGCATTTAGGCTAGAGCCTCACCAATCCATTTGCAGCATAAATTGAGTGACACGCTGTGTACCAAGGCCGCTATGGACAATTATATCATACCCTCCTTCTCAGCTCCGCCTGGCCTCCTCAACTCATCAGGTACAGTGGCATCACTGGGGATCAGAGAGCTCTCATGAATGCACTGAGCAATTTGAGCTTTTACCAGTCTAGACCTCCAAGATCGCACGACAACAGGTTGCGCGCAGTCTCTCGGGCCATCACACAGTGCGCCCGGCAGCATGCACACAGTCTGGCAACAGAGACGAAGATCGGGGAGTGGTTAAGCTTTGACAGGTGCCGCCACCCTACCAGCCCGTGACAGCCAGTCAGACCATCAGCCATGGTGACGTCAAATGGCCAGAGCATGTCGCTCTCTGAATGGGCGGTTGAAAACGTGTTTGGCAGAGTTGCAGCAATCTGCAGAGATTTTCAGCTTCAAAGCGTTATAATACATTACACAGTTTACGCAGAGAGCTCAAATCGGTCTCACATGACCCTTAGGACTTGGTCTACCGGCCCATTGTGTTTGTACAAAATCGCCAAAACTGTTTCAGAGTCCTTTTAAACCTAACATCCTGCATGTTTTGTAGCCGTCTCTTGATTGGTATTGAAAATACACCCATATTGCAGTGTTTTCTATGTTATATAAGGCACAATCTTTGTGCTTCCAGAATAATCATATAACATGTCTTGGCTCAGGAGTAGGTCCCATCTTGATGGAACAACTTTAACATTAATTTCCTCAGTCTGTCATTCATAACACTGCTGTATTGATGACATTAATAAGAAAGAAGTGAACGCAACTTGTGATTTCACAAGATGTGCAATGACATCTTTACAACATCACTGGCTTGCACATAACCCATAAAGAATAAAAATCTGAGATAGAAAAAAAAATCAGGAAGCACTCATTTGAGCGACTCATTGCGTGCTGCGATTTCCAAGCTGCAATTTGGTTTCAAATTGCTAAATATTTCCTGTTTTTTACACATAGAAATAAAAGCACGTACACACATTGTACACACATCAGAATCACTAGTGGTTACATTAAATGAAACATTTTGAACAACAGAGGTATTCACCCTCAAAATCAGACTTCAAAAAGGCAAATGCTTGACCTAATGCAGGATACATACACTTTTGCTTTCAGCAGAGTCCTTTTCCTCAGTTGCAGGCTCTCCCTCAGCTCTCTCTGAAGCAGCCCCAGCTGCATCACTTTGTTTTTCTGCCCCTGTTTCAGTTTCTCCAGCCGTTTCATCTAGCTTTTGTTCCTCTGCCATTTCAGTTTCTGTTTCGGCAGCTTCAGCTTGTTTTTCCTCGTCGACCGCATCTGCTTCAGCATCACCATTTTGCTCTTTACCATTCTCCACAGCCCTACAAGTTGTGAAACAAGGAAAATGTTAAACAGACGTTCTACGCCACATAGTTGCTGAACTGAAAATCGATCACCGGTGATCGACGCTGTTTGGTCATCAATTAAGTCATGGTAAGTTTCTTTCTCGTGCATCCAGCACTTTCTAGTAGTTAGTTCAGCCACTCAACTTTCAGAACTTTTTTCAATCTGCCGACTTGGGCAACATAGCGATTTTTTTACAGACTTTTGGCAAACCAATGTGCTTGTGTAGTTAGAAAAATGCATTAGGTTGGCAAACATGACAGAAGTGTGTGCTTCTCGTGATTATGCTACAGTAACATCGAAGTTCTGTAATGAAAAGAAACTTTGCAAGCCAAATATCGAATCGATGTGTTAGCTTCGTAATTTGACCGAGATGAGCAATAATAATTGTCGCAAATTTATGCCAGCTAATCAATAGAGATGTTGCTAAAAGTCAGAGAAAATTAATTCAATTAAAAATATTTCTCAAGGTCCCCCGCATGTATTAAGTGTGCAGGTGGCTCTCACAGCCAGTTTCCAGCCGCTTGGTTTTGCTTTTATCGTTATAACAGGCACAAGGTCACATGTAGTGTCGCTAGTCGCTCCTATTACGCGGTCGTCAAGCGCGCGCATGGGTGCGCATCAGCGCTGCAAAACACGTGCGCTGCTTGAAACTGTCTTGCGACTCCACCTGAATTGAGTGAGAACAAGCCGAGATTTCGTGGGTGACAGCACCTCAGCTTCAAGTTTCATGGGGACGATGTTTTGCGTCAGCCTGAGACATCTGTAGCCGTTCATGGTTTTAGATGCGGAGCATCTTATACTCGCGCCTTGTAGTGCGCTGTCCGCACCGCTTCTCAAACATTCGACAGCTGACGCGCGCGCATGCGCCGTCGCCCACTCTTCCACCATCTGTGCATCCCTTCCTCCTCTACACACCGCGCGCGCTTCACTCCTCCACCATCTGTGCACCCTTCCTCCTCTACACACCGCGTTCGACATCTACAATTCTCCTGCTTCTCCAGTGGACGCGCATGTGGCGTCGCGCTTCGAGAACATTCAACAGCTGACAGTGCATGCGCCATCGTGCTGTATATATACTCAAGGTCGGCGCTCGCTCGCTCAGTTGCCGCTCGTCGGTTGGTTTGTACGGCGCGTCGACGTCCAAGGTCGCGGTGAAATGAATTCCAACGAATCCACAAACACAATGATCGACGTCCCTTCGACCAGCGCCGCCCTTTCGCATACGTGTGTACGTGTTCACTCATTTAACACCCCCTCCTACAACCACGTTAACCAATTTAGCCATCGACCCAAGTAAGTCGCACTTTAACACCCCGTTAACCAATTATATGGTCCGCATCCTCCTCAGTGTTCCCCCGAGGGAAGCTGCGGGCAATTTTTTTTTTGTTTGTTTGTTTACATCCTCAAAATATCTCCTCCACCCCAAGTGCAAAATCTTATAGTTAGTCAGGTTATGTGTGTGGTCCATACTTCGCTAGGGCACGATATGATGGCGCTGGCTGCAGAGGTTCTCCTCAAAGGCAAGAAGGCGCCCGTAGCATATCTTGGCCCTGACTACAGAGCAGTGCGAAACATTTTAGAACTGCGCGCGATATTGTCCTTCTTTTTTATTACAATATGCACAAAGATGCAAGGCAATATGCTTGGCTGCATATATTGGAACACCAACCTATGCGGAGTGAAGTGGCTCATGGAAAGAGGAGACGCTAGATGAAATAGCGAAGTTCATTAAACGTCTCATTTATAGAGGGATTATTCACATCCCGGGTATCCATCTATATAAGAATACCTAGAGACTCTTATCGCAAGGCAACGAAAATTTACCGAAAAGAGTGTCTCACGAAAAACCATGCAATGCTTCACCGCATGGCATGTGCAATGAAGCAGCACCTCGGTTGATTTTCTTCGTCTATGTGAAGAGGAGCATTTAGTACAATATGAATTATTTTTGTACTGTTCCCAGGTAATTTATCTATAAAATGTGTATTCTGAATTTTTTTTGTTTTGAATATTTTTATCTATATAGTGTTTTTTATTCCACTGTTTACCAGCTGGTGACGAGAACTTTCACACTTTTCACATTTTTATTCATTCTAAAATATTTTTGTTGCTCTACAACCTATATATTCTGGAAAGAGTATTTAATTCTGCAAAGTTTGGTATGCTGCAATGTGTGCTGGAGTACTTTTCAAACTGGCAAAAACGATCTTCCCGAGACATGAAAAACAACCATTCTCGCGCGGTAACAAAAGAGTTAAGTGCAACGAAAGCTACAATGCTGGGAAGATATACTTAAAACAAGTAATTTCCACTGTGGAAGGCCTTAGTTCAGCCATTAGGCATACAGTTAAAGCTCGACTATACAAAACCCTGTTTTATAAATTTTTTAATCCAACAAAAAATCCCCCCCCCCCCCCCCCCTGTCCCGAGCATATACAGACAGGGCTAAATGTCATCAACTCAAATTGATGAAGCTTTCATGGCAATGATCCTAATTTAGTTTTTTCGGAAATTAGTGGGCCAAAGCACAGTCACTTCTTTCCTCTTTTTACACAAAAGCTTTTTTCAAGATGTGTGGTGCAGCAGCATTGCATAAGAATATCTGGACACCCAATGCACACCTTTGTTTTGACAAGGTAACATACCACAGTCGGTGGTTAATTATTCCTGCAAATACTTCCATAGGAACACAATGGTTGCTTTCCTCATTTCATAGTTTATAGAACAGATGGCAGTGATCACCTCTTTAGAACTTAATCTGCCTGCTCACACATTAACTGCTTTTTCTCGAGTTCGAATGCAGAAGCTTGTTGCGGCTTCACGCGACCATCCACCTTTTCTGTACTAACCAGACACAGGAGGAATTAATGGTCAGCCTGTTCCGTGAACTTTTTACATCAGCGAACATGTATTAGTGGCAAATGCTGTGGTAGCTTTTACGAGACGCTACGTTACAATTTCAGATTTCAAGCTTACGAACTTCGACTTATAGAAATAATTCAAGAGTCCCTATAGCTCAATAAATCAAGTTTACACAGTGTATTTTCACTAAGTGTGAAACACAGCTGCTGTCAGTTAAAACTCGAAAACTGGAGATGCTACTGGTACTCGCCCTTTAGGGGTGGTTTTAGTACATACAAAAGTTCTTTTCTGGGTAAAAAAACAGGCTCTTGAAGCAACAACGATGTTTCCGGGTACGTAAGGACAGTTCTTTCCTGCCAGTCATCCACACAAGCATTTGCAAAGCAAACAATGCAAATGAAGTGTTGACAATATACAAATATTAAGAAAAAATTGAGGGACCCTTAACTTTCGCCTTTAAGAGTTGAACACGATAGGGATATCCTATCCCTAATGCGTACTTCAAACACTTAGTGCATACTTTTTATTGCATGATGTTACTCAAGAAGTTTAAATCGTGGATTATTACAATGTAATCTATAAAGTTGTAAGTGGTTTGTGGCAGTGAAGCTTTCGCACATTGGCTACATTCTGTGTAATGTGTAGCATGCTTTAAACCACGGGCAATGATGTACGTGAAATCTTTTTCGAACTTTCAATGCACCCACTAGGTGGCCCGTAAAGAAATAGGTACAGTAATGTGTGTGCCTTTTATAGTGAGTGCCCGGCTTTGAACCAAGTCATTACGATAATCATGTTATGATGCCCAATGGCAACATACGCTTGTACTACGCATTATTTACTGTGACATTGGTGTTGTATTGGGAACATGTATACAGTACGTGTTTGTTTGTAAAGCATGAAAGTTATTTTCACTTCATTTCCAAGCAGAGGCATGGCTGTGTGGTAGATCACCTGCCTGCCACGCAAGAGAATGCGCCCTTGCTGTATGCACAGATGTGCAATTAAGAGATCGCGTCTCAGACAATAAGCATTCATTAATTATATTTTGGTCGTTTGTGCTTATTGTGGTTGGGGCCCTGCAGGCGACGGCGGCTCGTCAGGAGGGGTCCCATTAACAGGTATGCTAGAGTCGCGCTTAATTAGCTCCAACTGCGACGATAAAGCAGCCTTCCAGGCGTATATCTGACATACTCCGATTATCCTGCCTTGGCACGTTTATTCTCCATATGTACACGAGTCTGAACGATATGTCTTGTGCTGACACAGCTAGGGGAAGCGCAGCGTCCCCGTCATGGCGAATCGTCGACGCGGCATGATCAGCTGTGAAAAAAAGAAAGGGGGGGGGGGGGGGGCAGCGCACCACCTGCTGCGACTCCGTTCAGTTTCCCCGTCGTCCCTAATACTGAGACGCGATCTCTTGATTGCACAGCTGCACACACAGCAAAAGAACGCACCCCGACGCACGGTTCATTCTGTTAATTACGTCGCACACAAGTTCGCGGCACACGCACTCAGAAATGCACGGCGGACGACGAGTCGGTGATTCCCTAATTCCGAGACACAATCTCTTGATTTCACAGCAGCGCACACAGCAAGAGAACGCGCTCCCACTTCTGCAAGGGGTGTTTTACGTTCATTCCGTTAATTAAAACGGCCAGCGTAGCTCACGCACTTCCGAAATGCACCGCGGACGACACCAAACCGTCACAGGAAATTTCTCCGCCATATTTGGCGGCAGTCTGGCAACTGGGTATGAGACGCCAAACAGAACTTCGCGAAGTTTTTTAATTTTTAATTTTATCCGCAGAACAATACTTACGCTTGCTCGAGAGACGTCTCACCATCCCAGTCACTCGGGCCCGAGAAGTCCGCGGCGAAGTCGACATCTCCACCTATTCATTGCAGAGAACGAAAGAGCGTACACTTCTTCACTATATTCAGGCCTAACAGCCGGCGCGCTGTGATGGTGCCCTATGACTAGGCAGCACAAGTGAAGCAACACGACTACAAATGCATTTCTCACCGGTGTCGCAGTCGCCCGTCGCCTCTTCTACTTCAGACATTTAGGTCGACGCTGCGTGCACGAACCACAAAGCACCAGTCGCCGCTGTCGGCACACCAAACACGAAACGAAGACGTGTCGAGTGAAGAACACAAATGGAAAAACGAAGGGCGCTCCGGATGCTGCGAAACTAAAAGCGTTCGATATCGTGGTTACAACAGACAAAGGAACTGCTACTACTAGAACGAGTAGGAAAACACTGCGACCGATGATGTATGACTTATGCGTCACCGGCGTAACGCTGGAACAGTACAACAACGCTGTGGAAGTTGTGCATGAAGTGAAGGTGATTCGGTCAGCAAAGTGTGTAAATCCGCGCATCTCTGACCCACGACCAACTCTACTTTTGTAATGGCCTGCCCTGACAGCCTCTCTCCAGCGCCTATGTCTGGTTTGTACGTTCTGCCGCTAGGGCCGTAACCTATGAGCGGCGTAGTGCGAGTCAGCATCTGTCCGCTGACTTCACTTTCAGCGTTCATGGTCAAATTTTGGCCAAAAGAGCACTTGTATTGGGTAATTATTATACACAAATAAAAATATTTTGAAAATATTAAATTAAAAGTTATTCAGAAACTCTTTGCAATTAAGTGGACGCGACTTCACATAGTCTGGCCTACAGGTTCCCACGTTTACAACCAGTGTGCAATAAATACTTCACCGCACCGAAGAGCTCACTTCACAAGTCATCTAAGTGAATAAATAGTCACACATATGCTGACAGTTCATCATAGAATGCAACTGTTTTTACTCTAGCGACGTCCAAACTGCCGTAGAGTAGCAGACGAACAGGCTATAGGTAGCGCCACAAACAATGAGCGGTTACTGAATGAAAGCGGGGACACTCGCTCCGCCATCTGGACAGGTCAAGAGTTCAGTAGGTTGCGCTCTCGGCAGTGCGTTCTGCCAACGCCTCCTCTAGGAAGGTGCCTGCTGCATGAGAAAAAAACAGCTGCCACACCCTTTTCCTCCTTCATTTTGAAAATGTTCTCGGTCGCTAGCGTCACTTGTGGCAGACGGTGCAACAACGCAACATTTTGCATAGCCTCCGAAACAGTAATGCACAGTTGCAGGTCTCAAAAAACTCTCGACTGACGCGCCCCTATGGGCCGCAGATGAAAAACGCTTAGCTGGTACTGCCCGTCGCCGTGATGATAGTGTCGGTCGTGAGCGTCACCGCGCGGAGCTTGTTTAAAACTGAAGGCAGGCCAACTCCGCTGGGAGCGCGAGCCATTCCTCAGGCATCTTTCTAGAGGAGGCGTTGGTTCTGCCAATGCTCCTGCGCACGCTCCCACGCCGGCCATGTTGCGCTGAGCAGCTTGATAATAAAATACAACCGATACGACTAGCCCAATCCCACACTTTACTTATGTATAACGAGTTTGTTTATTTACACAACTCAAAGCGTCTGTCCTTATTCCCTGGCCAAAAATGAAAAAAAAAAATTGTTGGGGGAAAGGGGAGAGTAAACACAGAACTATTTCTTGATGCGAACGAATCGGCCACCATTCTTGCTACCATTATAGTGTATAGCAACTATATACCAACTAGCCCAAGCTGCCACACTTCTAAGTGTACAAATGCTGGTCTGACAATTCTTGGCACGAAATGTTTTTTTTCTTTACAAAGTGTTTACCACAAGCTTTTGGCAATACATTTGCTCCTATTTAAGATGGGGGGGGGGGGGGGTCTTAAAATAGCAAATAAATTGGAAAAAGTGATCCCCCCCCATTATTAAAAACCACAATTTTAATGTATACATAATCATAAATGTGATTTGTAAAAGTATTATGCTATGGCAAAATATAGCCCTTCTATTTCTTACAGGCTTAATAAACTACATTACAAATGTTCTTAAATATGAAATTGTATTTTCTCCACTTATTGTTGTGAAGTGAATCAGCCTTTGAAAGTTTTGAGGAAGCTTCTAATAACATAGTTTAACAAACTTGGTACTATCATTCTTTTCAGGAACACCTGAACTACAAGCTAAAGCGTTCTTTTTTTCTGCAGTGATGATCAAAGAAATAGCTGTCTTGACATTAATTTGCTTCAGCCTGTGGGATGGACCTTTTGGAACCACCACTGCAGTTCTGAAAGCAAGCTGTGTTGTAGGTTACTTTAATGTTCCATAGAAAAGTACACAATTATAATGTGGAAATCTTTCATTGCTTCTTTTCTAAAAGAGATATTTCAAATCTGTTTGCAGACTTGAAATCTCCATTCACTGATACATACTGTTATCAGGGCGTGGTGCATGAGCCCTCCCTGGCAGACAAATAGGAGGCTGGCGTGCCACAAGAGATTATAGTGGCTATTCAGTGGCAGTTATTTGTAAATATTGTAAATATACTCACTTCTGTCTTTCTTGTGTATTTACTATCCCCGTGGCAGCATGCAGGCCTAAATTTTATTAAAATGATAAAACAAATACTTTCCAAGACCTCGTATCATTTTGAGGGGCCCTGAACCAACCTTTTTTGAAAGATCATAAGAATTCACAACTTGTAAGATGCCTTCCAGCAGTATATTGCTGAAACATTTTTTTATGAACATCATTTCATTGTTATAACTTTTAAACTTTGCCATTCCAGCTTCACATAACTTAATTCCAAAAAAGCAAGACTGTGCCAATGGTGCCACCTCGCCTGGACATCCCGTTTCTTTGCTATTCAATTGGTGTAGCCAAGCACAAGCAGATGGTGAATGCAATGTGCACTGACCAAACTCACTACTCTAATATACTAATTTATTTCTGCCTCGAGAAAACACTGTGACTGAGGAGCTACAGAAAAAGCTGTCATATACAGCTTGACTAAGCTACAGCTCCTAAGTACATAAGGCGAGAGCAAAAAACAATTCAAAACAAAACTATTACTCATACAGCATCTCATGTGAAAACAAACAAAAAAAGGGAGGGAAAAAACTCTGCATAGGAAAACAGACAAGAAAATGAGTGAACAAGTCAATATCTACACTTTCTACACACAGCGTAAATTCATCAAAATAATATTGATGAAGCACATTTAATGTGTGGAATAAAAGGACAAATAATATAAAGAAACATATAGAGGAGAGAGAAACATGTTCTTTGAATTTTGCAAGATCTAAAATATATATACGAGTGCATCCTTATACATTGAACGAAGTTTCTTGCGAGTGCAGGTAAACAAGTTAGTGTGTACACATTTAGAAGAAAGGGAAGTGTATGTAGCAGGCACTCTTTACCGGTGTTTATATGTGCTGTTGGCACCAAGCAGTTTTTGGGTTGCCTAAAAGGGCAATTTGACTATTACAACCTGTTATCTGCATCGAGTAATATACAACAGTAGAAAGGAACCTGTTGACCCAAATATCCTACTGCCCAAGTGCAGTCTTCTCAGCCAATAGCAGCCCTTTGCGAGAATCTGACAGATTCGCAATGTGAAGCATGACCAGCACAAAGACGAGCCAAAAGAAGGGTACTGTTCTCATGCAGTACTACTATGTTTCAAGAAAAAAATTACTAACTCCTTAATTTAAGTAAGAAGCCACTGTGCACAAGTGCAACAAAGAAATATATTTTTAACCCATTTAGACGCTGTGTACACAATTGTGTGCACCACTCGTTTTTGATATCTGCATCACGTAGAGGCTAAGAAAGGACAAGGTTTATTGTACTTTGAATGAATTTAACCTCTTACATATAAATTTGTCTTCATTTAACTTATTTTGCAGTGTACAGATACAAATGATCACTTTTATGAAGACAATACCACATTCGACGAGTCAAGCGACGTGCCGCTTCCTGAAAACAATGTGAAGAGCAAAATGTTTCTTTGCTAAATACCGATATAACGAAAATTGAATTTGCACTATATCTCTAGCTTGAGATTTGATTTTATTTATGCCAAAAGTAAGCATCAATGACTTTAGAATAAAGAGATATATAGTTACAACTTGATTATACGAGTTATTCTAACACACATACATTCAACAATGCAAATAAGTTCTGCGGAAATCCACAAGGTTGCGCAAGGGCTAAGAAAGGGGAAAAAGACAACTACCCGTTGTAGCAAGAAGCCACAAGAAAATTTGTACTGGTCCGGAGTACAAACCTGGGACCAACACCTTTCCACGGCGGTTGCTCTACCAATTTAGCTAACCATGAAGCTAGCAATTGGCAGCTCGAGGGCGAATTCATTTATGACTCAAAGCGCATGGCCACAAGCATTGCAAATGAGTTTTGCGAAAAGCCGCAAGGTGGCGGATGGGTGAAAAAACATAAAGAAGGCAGACAAACAGTTTTTTAGGCAACCCAAAGGCTTTTCTTTCCGAGAAATCTGTACGCATTTCCTTGTGGCTTCGTGTTATAACAGGTGGTCATCTTCTTTGCTTTCTTAACACTTCCACCACTTTGTCAGTTTCCCCAGAACTAATTTGCATTGCTTGTGTCCGTGCACTTCGAGTTGTCAATGAATTCAACCTCGCGCTGCCAATTGCTAGCTTCCCAGTTAGCACAATTGGTAGAGCGACCACGTAAGAAATGCATTGGTCCCAGGCTCGAACCCTGAACCAGGACGAATTTTTGAGCAACTAAGAGGTTTTTCTTTCAGAGAAATTCATAGGGATTTATTGCGGCTTCATGCTACAAGTGGTGGTTGCAGTTCTTTTCCTTTCTTCTATATATTTTACAATTATCTCATTATTCTTTTTGCAACAAAATATTGAGGGTCTTGAAGTAACATTGCAGTGATTTGACACATTTACAGACAGTTCTTCATAGGTGGCATTTGAAACGGGTAAGCGAAAGTACATCATGGATAAAAGACATGAAACAGCAACAGAATAGGTATATAAAATCGTAATAAACCCGAAGAAACTGCACAGTCAAGCAGCCATATTTCTTTCACCACTGGTCCATCATCCTTGCTGCTCAACTGTGGCGCTCCATCTTCACTGCAACTTTGCTAGGCTTTCTTCAAGGTGAGGTTCAGGGCCCTTTTATTGCAAAACATTGCGTAGAGCCTGCTGTAGTAGGCTTACTTTTGCAATCTGAAGTTTTGATGTTGGCCTTATTAAACAATTCACTCCCAATGTGAAATATGAGCAGCACAAGAATGAATGAAAAGAAGAGTACAGCAGGCAGCAGTACGCTTCAAGATAAAATACTGAACTCATTCAAGTACAACCGAGGAATATATTTCCAAGCAAGTACAAGAATAAAGGACGTGAATTATTTATAAAATAGTTTTAAAATTGTAATAAATATAAAGAGACTGCACAGCAAAGTAGCTATTTCTTATTCGTCACTGGGTCTTCTGTCCTCACTGCTCGACTGTGATGCTTCATCTACACTGCACGGCTGCGCAAGACTGTCTTCACTGCAAATTCTTCCAAAGCTTTCCGCAACAGCCTCCATAATATGCAATATTGCATCCAAAACTTGCTGGTTTCTTGCAACATGTTGCTCCATTGCCCTTTCATGCATGTCAATTTCATCCTGTGTGCTTGGAATTTTTGTGTTCATTTCGGACAACTGCAAAAACATAGAAATATCAATGGTGTTATGAGCCACAGCAATTGAATGAAATATTAAGAAAAGCATTATTTGTTATTTAAATACCCATATGATATCCGAAACAAATCGCTCCACCGAATGTACAGTGCTCAGAAAATGAGGGCCAAGTAATGCACATGCTGCTATAAATTTTGTCTTCCAGTTGTGTTGCATTGGCATAACACTGGCATGGACAGTTACGTCAAAACCACCATTTTTCATGGCCCGTTTGCCTAACCTAGCACGGTTAACCTGAGCTTTTGCACAAGCTAGTTGCTATCAGGCTTGTGTGCCATCAATGGAGGCGCTATGAACGATGCTCCGTCAATGCAAGCAGAGAGCGTTTGGTTTTGGTAATCAGCTAGGCTCTAGCTTGATTAGCTGCATCTTCATAATGGTTCATTCACAATGCATGAAATTGAAGGGATCAATTCTAGGGCTTATCTGCAAAACTTGGTGTAGTACAAACAGTAGTTCATTAACGAAAACTTTCACTTCCCTTATAATTGTAGTCATGTGGACCCGTCTACACAAGAAGTTTGCTGACAAAATGAAATTTAGAGATTCACAGACTAGCAGGTAGTTGAGGATAACTAGCATAGAGAGGGAGTGCGTTGGCAATGCATGCTAAAAACTGTTACACATATAGTATAAATGTTAGTGCACTACAGAGAAATAAAAGCGGCCCAGAGAGAACGACATGGCACAACACAAGCACGATTGCGTTGTCCTATGTAATTCGCTCTACGTTTATTTCACTTCACTGTAGAATGCTAAAAGTGTACACTATGTACAATCAACTGAACCCTACCCTTGCTCTTGTTACACATACCATCGTCATCGAATGAAGTGCCAACAGTGGTCTGCAAGGTGGCGTTTGCATCTTCATGTTTAGAGATGGATACGCTCGTGCGATTTTCCGCTTGTGCACCACATGCATGTGCTCAATCGTACAGTGCTGTCTAACCCGGTGTGCACATCTGTCAGCGGTGATCATCGGGACAACACGCACTGTACACATGCTAATGCCTGGGCCATACGCTCTGCCGCTGGTGTTTCATTTGACGCCAGTAGTACAGCTTAGTAAAAATCGGCGAAAGGAGCTCGGAAGAGGTGAAAGAGGGCTCTTTCCCCCTTTCTTTATGGCCTTTGTGGCCAGTTAAACAAGATTTAATATTATTTCATACCATGGTCACACTATGCTCTATCAGGACTGGAGTGCCAAGAGTTATTTACACTATATTACTGTTAATATACCTTATTGAAGAAGCGCTGACATAAAATTTCAGAATCGAAATGCCCCTTTCATTCGATTGCTCGATGTGCACAGGTCCTCTTGCCCAAATTTGGATTGTGTCCGTCGCATGGAAGTTATCTTATTTCAACGGCAAACAGCGTACGAGAGCTTAATGAAAAATGGAGTACCCCTGCGACATTGACACTAGTGCTACATGTTCGGTGTGATACATCTCACAAATACCATCCTGAGTGACGATGCGCTAGTAGCGATGACGTGAATGATTCGAGTGTTTTTATCATGGTGCCGAAGCCTAGAAACGAACTCGCACGTCATGTCTGATCTTCGTAGCACTGCTTTGAATGACTTCGTGAAATTACCAAGATGCAAACCACCCATAAAGATCGGCGAAAAAAAAAAAGATAGTTCAATGGGTGCTCGTTAATCAGCATGTCGGAGAACCGTTGCAAGTGGCAGTTGTATGGTTCGAAGCATGGAGAAAGCGCAATGAGGGCGTCTTTTCATTACATTATGTTACATGTCAACAGGACCACAAGCTATCAAAGTGGAGTAGTGTATAGAGAGATATCATCGCTAACAAGTAACATGCAGGTATCATTAATAGTGAATTTTAGTTCTTCATTGACTTCTTTGCGTCCACGTAATACCAGTTTACTGTCGCCGCAACTGTGAGAGTGCGTGAGAGGCCAGATAGGTGGGCCATCTGAGGGCGCAAAGAAGAACTTGGCAAGCAGGGAACGTATCATGTTTCTCCCCTGGTTCACATTCCCTCTACCGATATTCCATTGAATGCTGTGCACGCCAAAACAAACCAATATAGCTAATTGAGACACACGAGCGAGCACGGTCGAAACAAGCATCTTCGGGCAGCTCTTCATTGCTGTTTGGAACGGCGTCAATTTTGGAATCGCTGTTCTGCAAAGGGTCAATCGAAGCAAAAATGATTCCAAGCTCCAGACTGTCGTATTCAATCCTAGTCGTCACTTCGTATAACGACGACAGCAATGCAGGTGACAATGCATGACTGAATGTGTGCGCCTACCAGACAAAATATTTGCATATCAGCTGAGCCTCACTTCACTCTTTTTTGTGGAGAAGTGGTCAGCTGTGGCGCGATCTGGAGGTGACAGCGAGGGAGCCCCACAGAGCTAAAAAATGGCAATATTGCCAGTCGTTTTGAATCGTGCTTAATACCAGTGATATAAATCAATAAAAGTGATAGTTATTCATCCAGCAGTTGCATTATAGGTCGCAAATTCCGATTAGAGTGTCGATAGCTACTCAATGACTCAAACATCTTGACATGAATAAATTTGTGTCAGTGCTTTTTTGAGACTTTCTGATGTGTATGTTAGCTTTGCATTTACTATAGCATAATTACACGAATTCCTTTCAGCATACTCAAGCTTGTTTTCAGCATACGAAAGTATGCTGAAAACAAGCTCGAAGTTAAAAAATGTCTATTTTGTAAAGCAGGTAGTAAAATAGTGCCACACACCCTCCTTTTTTTTTAGATTTTAAATTACGAACCTATTACACATGCAACCGTGTCAAATGATTAAGAATTTCCTAGATAATCTTAGAACCTTCTGATGAGATTACGTGCATAATGCAGACTAGAGTTTCTTCTTGAACTCGCGTGGCTGCTAGTGATAATGCTGGAATATTTGATGACACATGTAGAAATAACGACGCATTTTGCGCCAAGGCCTACAAGAAGCATTTTGCGCCAAGGCCTACAAGATGCAAGTTTGCGCCAAGGCCTACAAGAAGCTATGCTTCTTAAGAAGGAAGCTGAGGTCATGTGATTGGAAAGTTAAACTTGCAGCCTATAAAACCCTAGTTCGACCAGTGCTAGAATACGCATCCATTGCGTGGGACCCATATTTAAAGAAAGACATAGATAAAGTGGAAAGGATTCAGCGGCTAAGCGCACGGTTCATTTTTTCAGACTTTAGGCGCCTCTCCTCCGTTTCAGAAATGTTAAATAAATGTGAGCTGGAACCACTGGAATGTAGGCGAAGAATTGCAAGGTTAGTCTTCTTTTATAAACTATACAACAATGAATCTGGTTTAAATAAAGAATTGTACATTCTGCCACCTCCTCAGCGCTCAGCAAGGTTAAGTCATTCAAAAACGCATTTCACTACTTGTCAGTTTCATTGACGGCCAACGATCTGTTCGCCGATATAAATCTACAGTATATTTCTCGTAGCGCGATGTTTCATTTGCTGGACCCAGGTTCGCCCAAATAAAAAATTCAAGTTTTCAAAGCATCTGCTGCTGCTTTTTTCATGACCCTGTGACAATATGCTGCATAAAAAAATTTGTGCCCCTTGCACCAAGTCGTGCGAAGCTTGGGCAGAGCAGAACAGGTCCTGGTTTGACTAGGGACACTTGCATTCACATGCCGAAGCATGACATGTTTACGTTATCCCATTGTGAATAACAGGTATTGACTAGGTATTGATCAGGTTGATTGGGATTCCTTTGGCGATTGCAAGACTATGTATCTTAATTGTGATAATTAGCTTAATTTGTCTACTTCACAAATTCGGCACATGATCTCGATTAGCTTGCACCCCGAGGCTTAAATATGACTTAATTAAGAACATTAACTTAATTAGCCCAATCTGCACATCCAAGTTGTGGTCTTGATTAGCTTACAACTAAAGTCTACCTTTCTTAATTACGTAATTAGAAATATTCAAGATCAGTCTTTACTAGGATTAGCTCGGCAAACCTTGCTGAGCTCGGCATGAGTAGGCACACAAGAATCTCAACTCTGCTTAATTAGACAATGACTTTACTACCTTAAGTATGTATCACTAACAAGGTTTCGTCATGCTCAATCAGGTTTAATTAGGCTTGACTACAATTAATTCTGCTTGGCTTTTTATCTTCGCCACGATGGCATGGTGATTATTTCTTCTCTACATAGCAAGTAGGACAAACGGAGGGCATGACAGCTCTGCTGTGAAAAAATTCCACACAACTTGTCAGTATTTTATACGACGGTTGTGCATCCAGCTTTTTCTCATGATTTTTATGTTTTTATATTAATCAAATTTTTAGTACTCATGTGTGCCCACACAGTAGCTGCTCAAAAGTTGGATCAAATCAACGGTTGTTGTCCTGTAAAAATTACAATTTTGCTTGCGTAAATATACCCGCACGCATGGACAACCATACATAAAGTATGAGCCAAACTACGTACGAGCAACACTATTTTGCTTTTAATAAATGTACCATTTACAGGGTCAACTCCTAAAAGTGTACAGTGAAACCTCATTATTTCAAACTATATACTTAATTCGAAGGATTCCTGCTGTCCCCTATTTTGCAATGCAAGTTGAGTAGATACTTTCAAGTGTCAGTCGGCACCGGCATGGTTAATTCGAAAACATTGGGTTCCATGTGCCAATGCCCGATCTCGATTTCTCCGCACACATGCAGAAACTACTGCCCTTAGGAGCCACAAGGCAATGCAATGCAGCGATACTAATGAGTGACAAATGAAGCATCCCAGCTTCATTGCTGCCAGTACAAAAATAAAAAATATTAAATAATTTTATTAATTAACAAATAGATAAGCAGGATACCTAGGCGAGGATATTTGCCCAGATCCCTGAACAACTCACTGGACCTTTTTTTTTAATAATGTTGCATCTTTCTTTCATAATAAACTAAGCATTGCACCAGCCAGAAAAACATGCTTCACTGCAACACAGAAGCGGCATGTGGGCAGCAAGCCGCATGCTTCTAACAACGTCAGCGCATATGATTTACCCATTTGTCCTTGGAATATAAAAAAATTTAAGGACACACTGACGGCATTTGTGATGTGTGCGAAGCTGCGATTAGCAGTAGTTCCAGTACGACGGACTTGCACTGCTAGCGGGGTTCTTGCCTGCAACGCCTACTTCGGAAACTCAATTAGAAAACTGAAGATCATGCTTTCCAGCCAAAACACAAACAATTCCGTTACATTGGCCATTCTTAAACTATTTTACCAGAAAGAATGGGCGAATGGTTGCATCACGAAGGGCTGACGCTTCAAGAAGCACACGGCATACTGCCCACGCGTCACCAATATATTGCAGTGAAGCACGTCTTTACCACAGGCGCACATTTCTGTTGACCATGACACAGTGTCCTTTTTTTTTTCTTACTTTGCACTGGCACCAGTGAAGCCATTGTTCGCCCATGTTTGCAGCAAAATTTGGCCCAGGCATTGCTGTAAAAACATAACCGCTGTAGTCACAAACTAGTTGGCATAACAAATGACTACCTCTAATCACTTTCTATAATTCAAAATTCCTTGCATCCCACTTTTTGCAAGTGTTGTTTATTCAAAAACTCACTTTAATTTTAAAATTTTCACATAAAAACTGACTTTGAATTAATCAGGTTTTACTGTAGATTCATTTTAAAAGACTGACTGAATTAATGAGGTTTTACTGTATATTCATTTTAAAAGAGTACCTTAGCAATGGCACTGGTTTTTGTTTGCTTCATAGTTGTCTGGAGCTGTTGCAGCGTCTGTCGAGCATTATTGTTGCGCTCCTCACGGGATTGAAGACCAGCGTCTAATGGCTGCTTCTCTTCGAGACGCTTCAGCTCCTCCGAAGCGAGCTCCACTTTCTTTTGCAATGCGTAGTATGCTTGCTCAAGTTCAATCCTGCACACACACACAAAGCAACAATTCAGCACAAGACAAGAAAGTAACATTACTACAGGTTTCTCTTCAATGCAAGCCCACGTGATCCCTACACTTTCCCAGTTATTTATTGTCCTTGCATGCACGTGACCAAAAAAAAAAAGGTCTCCTCAATAAGTTCCCCATCTTATTAGAGAAATCTCTATGCTTGCTTACATTAACCCATTAAACAGTTCCAGTAGACTGCATACAGAATTATCCAGTCAAACTAATCACTGGTCCAACTGCAGAACTCTGTTCTCCAGGTTTGGCTTATTAACAGGACGCCAGTGGGTTTCTGAATTAGGTTCACTTTACTTAAGCACTGTTGCAAGCTTCAAAAGACTATTATGCACAGTAGCAAATTAAACATGGGCCTTCAAGATTTATTAATGTACATTTTAAGCACACTCGACACCAAATGAAATGCAAGCACTGTTATTGGCTAAGCATACTTGCAACCTCATGCTTGCCATCAGAATACTAGCAAGCTACTTTGGTGGATCAGCAAAATCTGCCGAAACATTTTCAACTCCCTCGCAATGCTTTCAACCTCTATTTAGAGGTTTCACATATTTCACTACGCGGGACCACCGTTTACAAAAGCGGCAAAAAAATTCTACAGTTCAACATGCTGGCCCTGCACTTTACCATTATGCCGGCTGGCAACTTCATGTGTGCCGAGACAAACAATCAGGAACACAAGTAAGAACAAATACAAGCTGATCAGGACAGCCAAGTCTAACAACCAGATCCACAGACCCTCAGACCCACACACAGAAAAGCAACACCAAAATTAAAAAAAAACTGCTTATCGCCCCACAATGAAGATGAAAAAAAAAAAAAAACTTTCGGCAAGGACAGCTTCTATACATCAAAAATATGAAATTTTCACATAATCAATATGTAATACAAGACAATATATTGAAATAAACATGACTAAAAAACGAAACTAAGCGCAGTTTGCTTATGATAGTCATGATAGTCTTTTAGCATTTTAACTCTAGCCAAACACACCAGGCTCAGCCTTGACATTATATTAACTACCTGGATTATATATATATATATATATATATATATATATATATATATATATATATCGTGAAGAAGATGTGCCTGCAGCAAGCAGCATCGCCAACGCCCGGCTCTCTCGGCTCGTGCTTCGGTTCGTTGCTGTGCCGATCGCTGGACGGTTCTTTACGCTGTCTCGTCGCTGTCTTTAACAGCTAATAAACCTCTTCACAACGTTTGGTGGAAGGTGCTGTTAATCCTCGTTGCTACACCCTGGAGCTGCAAAGCCGCTGCTACCGCCTGTCATGACTGACAACGCCACTACATCAGCGCCTTCGCCCCAGTTCAATTGCCCTGGCCATCCTAGGCTACGGGACCCGAGGGTCTTCAGCGGTGCGGATGGGACCGAGGTCGAAGTTTGGCTCGAGCACTACGAACTGGTGAGCGCCAACAATAAGTGGGATGAAGCCGACAAGCTGGGCCACATCATATTTTATCTCACTGGCGTCGCCGAATTGTGGTTTAACAACCACAAACACAACATCCCCACATGGAGCGTCTTCAAGGCGTCATGTGCTGAAGTGTTCGGTCGGCCGGCTGTCCGCAACCAGCGGGCAGAACAGCGCTTGCCCGTCCACTCTCAGCAGACTGGCGAGACCTTTACCAGCTATATTGAGGACGTCGTCGACCTTTCTCGACGTGCGAATGACACCATGCCCGAATCTGACAAGGTCAAGGACACATCCTGAAGGGCATCGACGACGGCGCATTTCAAATGCTCTTGGCAAGAAATTCGAGCAGAGTTTCCGAAGTCGTCAGCTTGTGTCAGAGCTACGACGAATTGAAGAAGCAACGCACTTTGACTCGGCAGCCTCAGCGTGATGGTGAGTCACTGTTCAGTTTCGGCACCCTGCCTGACAATTCACCGTTGCTTCAGCAAGTTCGAGCCTTCGTCCGTGAGGAAGTCGCCCGTGAACTTTCCCTAGTGCCTTCACTCACGAGACCACCACCCGTCTACCTGCCCCGCTTTGCACTCACTGCTATTTCGGAAGAGGTTGCCCAAGCTGTTCCTCTTGCGCACCACGAGCCGCTTCTATCCAGCCGTGTTCACTGCCAGCGTATCGTGCAGCCAGTAGGCCCTCCTGTCGCCTGTACGCCAGCCACGCAGCCTGTGGCCGCACCCCTGACGTATGCAGCGCAGCCTGTGGCTCCTCCTGTCGCCTGTTCGCAAGAGATGCAGCCTGTAGCAGCGCCGTTCACATATGCAGACGCTGTGCATAGGCTTCCGCAACCACCCTACACCTCGCGCTCACAGCCCGCACACCCGGCTGCTTATACTGCACCTTGGGTGGCACCACCAGTCGCCAATCCTTGGAGGACGCCCGATAACCGACCAATATGCTACACCTGCTTCACTCCCGGACACGTTGCCCGCTACTGCCGCGGTCGACCTCAGACGTTCGGCGACTATGTCCGATCGTCACAACCCGGCAGCCAACCCTTCGTGCAATACGGGCCGGTCTCGTCACCTCGCTATGCCCCTCCCAATGACCCCGACTTCGTGACACTGCGCGCACCCTCTCCTCGTCGGCGATCGCCCTCCCTCATGCGTCATCAGCCCAGACCTTCTGACCAGGAAAACTAAGCACCGCAGTTCAAGAGGCAGGAACTGCGCCATATTCGAACTGTCTAAGCCCTTGCCCCTCTCCTGCTAACGTGGTCGCGGTAACTGTTGAAGGTTATTGTACTTTCGCCCTTGTGAACACCGGCGCCGCTGTTTCTGTTATTGCCGCTAATGTCTGCCATGTATTACGTAAAGTCACGACGCCGCTTTCGGGACTGTCACTCCACACCGCAAGTGCACAGCAAGTAAAGCCTCTTGCAGCCTGCACTGCAAGAGGGTCCATCGAAGGCATTGTTTACATTGTGGAGTTTATTGTCCTCGCTGTCTGTTCGCATGACGTCATCCTCGGATGGGACATCCTATCCCGCCATAATGCCGTTATCAACTGCGTACACGCTGAAGTTGAGTTTTCACTCTTTTGTGATGTCCCATTACTTGACGCTCTTCATCAGCCGCCAAAGTTGTTCTTGCATGAAGATACCGATATTCCACCTGAAAATTTCGCACTTGTTCCAGTTTCATGCAACGCCTACACTGATGCTACAGTCTTTTTTATGCCTTCCGCTATCTTCACGAGTCGTCGAGCTCTGCCGCTGCCTTTCGAAGCTATTGACCTTGCCGCCGGAAGAAGCAATATGTTCATACTCAACCCGCTTTCCACACCTGTCACTTTGCTTGCGGGGGAATGTCTCGGCCGCGTGCAGGATCTCGACCCTTCGTCTTTGGTTGATGTCCCGGATGACTACTGCGACCAACCAAAATCACTGTCAGCCCTCGACGAGTCGTCCAAGGATACGTTTTACAGCGCCATCGCCGACACCCTCACACCCACCGAACATGCCGACCTGCTTGATCTTCTGCATGAGTTCCGGAATTCTTTCGATGTGTCGCAACCTCAACTAGGCCGCAGGTCGCAAGTCAAGCATCATGTTGACACCTGCCTACACCAGCCACTGCGTAAAAGACCATACCGTGTCTCCACTGAAGTGCGCCGCGTCATCAACGATCAAGTCGAAGATATGCTTCGTAGAGACGTCATTCGACCATCTCACAGTCCCTGGGCGTCTCCTGTCGTCCTGGTGCGTAAGAAAGACAGATCTATCCGATTTTTCCTGGACTATCGTCGTTTGAATAAGATAACCCGCAAGGACGTATATCCTTTGCCGCGCCTTGATGACGCCTTTGACACCCTTCCCGGAGCGGAATTCTTCTCGTCGCTAGATTTGCGGTCTGGCTACTGGCAAGTTTCAATGGCTGAAGCCGATCGCCAAAAACTGCATTTATTACACCTGACGGACTATACGAGTTTAACGTCATGCCCTTTGGGCTTTGTAACGAGCCCGCCACGGTTGAACGACTTTTGGATAACACGCTACGTGGCCTCAAGTGGAATATATGCCTCTGCTACCTCGACGAAGTCGTGGTTTTCTCGCACGACTTTCCTACGCACCTCCTTCGCCTCAGGCATGTTTTGACTTGTCTGACCAACGCTGGCCTGCAGCTTAACCTGAAAAAATGCCGCTTCGCTGCACGCGAGCTCGTCATCCTAGGCCACATCGTGTCGAAGCACGGCGTATTACCTGACCCAGCAAAACTTCGAGCAGTTGCAGAATTTTCCAAGCCGACAACCATGAAGGAACTTCGCAGTTTTGTAGGCCTATGCTCTTAATTCCGGCGCCTTGTTCGCAATTTTGTATCCATCATGTCACCATTAACCCAGCTTTTTCGAGGTGACGTGAACCTTTCCTCCTGGTCCCCTGCATGTGACGTTACCTTCACTACTCTGCGCCGTCTGCTCACCTCCCCACCTATTCTTCGCCACTTCGACCTGACGGCTCCTACCGAAGTGCGCACCGACGCCAGCGGCGTCGGGCTAGGCGCTGTCCTCGCTCAACGAAAGCCCGGCTATTCAGAATACGTTGTAGCCTACGCTAGCCGCACTCTGACGAAAGCCGAAACTAATTACAGCGTGACAGAAAAAGAGTGTTTGGCTCTGGTGTGGGCGCTTGGAAAGTTCCGGCCGTACTTATACGGCCGCCCGTTCGATCTAGTAACAGATCACCACGCGCTTTGCTGGCTCTCCACGCTGAAAGACCCTTCTGGCCGCTTTGCGCGATGGGCACTCCCCATCCAGAAGTACGACATTCGCGTCGTATACCGCTGCGAACGCAAACACTCTGACGCTGACGCCCTGTCCCGCTCACCTTTGCTACCAGATCCGACGTGCGGAAACACGTGCCTCCAGACCTTGTCATCGTTAAATCTTGACTCAATTGACACCAAAGAACGTCGTGACCCGTGGATCGCATCTCTTCTCAAATATTTATCCGGTATGCCCAACCTTCCG